ATTGTGAGTGTCCCCGGCATGTTCTGATCAAGCTAGGATCTGAAGGGGCCTCCTATATGGCTTAAGTATTGCACAGTGTCACCCTACCTTCTATACCACCACAACTGATCCTTAACTATTTTTGTGAATCCTTAGCTCCATTATTAACTAATTATTATTAGTTTTTCCTATAGGCCATGTGTGCTCACTGGAGAGAGACAAAAAGAGAGAGAGAGAGAAAGTGAGAAATCACATGCCAGTAAACTGACAGTATTTTGGCTTTAGACAGTCAATTATTTTGGGGGCCAATAGAAATCATTTTGTAAATGTCATTTTAATGGCTTGACCCTCATTTCATTGAGTACATACCAGTCTCTTTTTTGTGTCATAGTTCTTTTCTCTAAAGAACTTCCTTTAACATTTTTTATAATACAGTTCTGCTGGTAACAAATTTTGTTTTGTTTCCTTAAAAAAATTTCTAGGTTACTGGCAGAGTGAGGAGGCTTTGTCTGGCTCATTGTGGTGAGACACAGAGACAGTACCAGGCCTAGGGAAGGCCGGCAACTGTGCCTCTTAGAGGAAGGATAATCAAACATGGGTAAAGGAGAGCCTAGGAAACCAAGAGACAAAATGTCATCAGATATGTTCATTGTGCAAATTTGCCTGGAGGAACATAAGAAGCAGCACTCACATGCTTTAGTCAACTTCTCAAATTTTTCTAAGAATTCTCAGAGAGATAGAAGACCATGTCTGCTGAAGAGGAAAGAAAAGCTGAAGATATGGTAAAGGTAGACAAGGCCCATTAGGAAAGGGAAATGCAAACCTAGGTCCCTCCTAAAGGGAGAAGTTCAAGGATCCCAAAGCACCCAACAGGCCTCCTTTGACCGTTTTCTTGTTTTGTCTGGAGTATCATCCAAAAATCAAAGAACACCCTGACTTGTCTTAGTGGTATTTTCAGTAGCTACTGAGGTAGAAGACAGGGACCTTAGAACCCATGTCTCACTTCGAGTGCTGGGCCTGAACGCCCCTGCAC